GTGCTTGCCATTCACGTGGTCGCTGTTGGTCACGCTCAATAAAACTTCCCAAAAACTTTGGCGATTTGACCACCGAAAACGTCCTCTGCCGCCGAGCTCTTCGACTACATTGATACCGCTTTTCGCACGCATTGCCCAATGTCCGACTTGGCCCTACTCAGTCTTTCAAGCGCGATCTGTCCAAGCTCAGGAAGACTCCCAAGTTCCCCGACTTTCTGTCATATGCATTATTTTGCGAGACTCTGACTCGGAGATGTACATCTACGAGCGCCAGACCAAGCAGGGCTTCATTGACCTAGCCCACTATGTTCTTCGTGTCTCTGACCCTCAGCTTTCCCGATAACCGCCCGGGTTTTCGGCAATCGTGGATGCCACTGCACAAGGGCGATTTCTGTCGATTTGATCTTGGATCTCAGCGAACTCTCAGGTCGCTCAACACCAGAGTCACCAACAAAGTCCACGTCAGCGGACAAGAGACGGCAAGCTGAGTGCTGGAACATCTTCCACTCCCATCCACTTCACGACAAAAAGTATGTCGGTGGAGTTGCAGAAGAAGGACTCGAACTGCCAATGATCAATTGTGATTACTGTGATATCGAGTATGGGGCAGCTGAGTGCCTTGTCTGGCAGATAGGATCTCCCGGGGTCACAAGTCCATCCACACTCGACAACGCGCCATACCAATGAAAGTACAACGCTCGATCAGATAAGCGAGTGAACTAACCCATTGTCACTGTCGGGTGAGCTCGATCAATGTTCATTTGCAGCTGATTCATTCCAGAGATCGGCACACTGCCGCACAGTCTCCCAGAGTGCGGCGCTTCTTGTGATAGGCTATCCTGCCATCTCGTGTGTTTTAATCCATGGTTGCACGAGTTTCTTGACTGAATTCGGCTGAAGATCAAGCGGGTTGTGGATCATCGGGAAGAAGGCGCGCCCTCTCTGATAATCACACTTCGCAATGTGCTGACAGTCGGCGGCCGTTGAATTCACTGTGCGTGGGCCGCAAAGAATAAGGACAACGAAATCTCAGGTCGCCCGAGAATTGGTCGCCAATCAGCGCGAGAAGTTTTGAGAAATTCCTTCTGTTCTTTCTTGTCCGCGGCCACGGTCTGTCACATTCCCGAGCTTTATTCGTGTGAGAAGTAGTAGGGGATGGGGAAGTTTGAGACTGCTAGTGGCAGCTCAGCTCGGACACAGACACAGACACAGACACGGACAGATGCTCAGATGGACGCATAACGCAAGACGGACAAAGATCTATTTGATACGCGAATGCGCATCATTGCCATAGCACGCCGAAACAAACAAGTATTCTAACAATTCGAAAGGGCGAAACTGTGTCGCCGACGTTCCGGGCCAAGGGGAATTGCCTCATTCCATGGAGCGGAAAGCCACGACAAAACTGAGCTGGTTCTCCTCTAATCGGCTGATTGGCGCGCGGGTTCTCGACATGGGCGCGAGAATTCGACGTCCAGGCTTGGATTCGATTCCTGGACGGCGGACTTAGTGAGCCCACCCCTCCTTGTATTTTCCCCCGCGCACCCAAAATCCTATTATGTAGTCGTGCCGCAAAGAGGATTACGTCAGATCCAGCACCCTGCAATTACAGCGAGCCGCATCCGCAAACTTACTATGCGCGGCTCGGCCGGCACCCTACGGCCAATCGGCCGTGAGCACGACATTCGCCACTCAGTGCCAGTGGCGCGATTACTAAGAGGATCAACATGCGGCGGGCATACGCGAGCACTTTCCTTCCTCCCATAATCAGTCTCCAGTCGCAGCCAGCCAGCGAACCTGAACTAAAATTCCGAATACTCCCCCGCCAACAGAGCGCCCGACACGGAAATTGAACCTAACGATGGAATCAAACCAGCCAGCCTCAGGTCCAGCACCTAGGAGTAACATCCAATTTGGCACTGTCAAGGAGAAGGCTAACTCTAAACCAATGCACAAATATTAATGGCCTGCACACGCGGATGGTTGAAGCACGCGATTCATGTGGTTGTGAGTTATATCATACATCCATCCTTAGAGCGCGGAACTGAATTATTCTGCGACACTTCGCTGTGAGGTGAGGGCACAAGCTCTGGGTTCTGTTGCCGACTTAGTTATGCTCCGTAGCCACGCGGGTCAGAACGAACAAACCCATTCGCGAGCAGGCGTCATGTACCTGGCTTACTCAACTGCACCTAACTTAATTTCCTTCCTTCACGCCCCGGCTTCCCTTCCCTTGCGCGCGGATCTTTTCTCACAGCCCAGGCCCTCGTTCATTTATGTGCCTACAGACGTACTCCTCCTTCTCGAACGCGATCATGATCGATACACCGTCACTTCATTCCTGCTGGCTCGCACGGGTTAAGTTTTCTTCATCTTGCGTTCATGTGTGATTAATATTTCCACCCCCAGGACTCTTTCCATCCCAATATTTGCCAGCCATCTCCGCTGTTGACTGATGCTTGATTTCGTCTGCCTTTGCGTTACATCGAACCGACGTTCCTGCGGGAAGTGTATTGCACCATATGCACCGCCCGCTTCCTGCGCCTGTTTAATCTCGACGTCGACACCGAGCCGGTGCTGCTTCGAACCCCTTGCGGAGCCGCCGCGATGTCATTTTGATATTGCTATGTGATTCCACTCGCAATCAGTGTGGATGTGCGGTGCGGGGTGTGGGTGCGGTGCAAATCCTTGTTCTTGCATTTGTACTACGTGTCCTTGTTCCTCACATTCGGTCCTCAACACTGTGCTCTCAGGTTTACCGTGGCTTTCTTTCCGTACATTGACCAGTCCACTGACTCTCAGCGTAGTCCTCCACGCCACACTACATCGCGATTTTTTTTTCTTGTAAAAAAATTGAATAACCTTTTTGGTTCTTCACACCCAGCCTGACAACCATCTCAACTACATCCGCGGGACCGAATTGAATCCCGCAAATTTGACCCAAGTTTACATCTCCATCCCCGACCTCGCCCACCACTGGGTCATATACTTGACTTCACATGCAATGAATTCCACCACTGCTGTTTACCGGGAATCTTGATCTCGTTTTGTCCTTGGCCGTATACAAACGTACGTTCCTACGAGAAGCGCACTGCACCACATGTACCTCCACTTCCCGCGCCTGTCTATGCTCAAGCTCACCATCGATGCCGAACCATCGCTCCTTCTCGCGCCAGGAAAATTTGTGCGGAGCCGCTGCAATGCGATAGGGGTGTTCCCTCGTTAAGACTCCGCCGGAGTGGCAACCAGTGTGAATGGGATTTACATGATATCAGTGTGGGTCCTTGTGTCCTCGAACCTGTGCTGAACCTTGTTCGTTCCATTCCATCCTTCATAGCAACAATGACAACTGACTGCTATCGTTGTCCTTGTGACCTTGTTCTATTCGTCCTGGCCCTTGTTTCCGAGGACATATGTATTCATTGTGCAGTCGGACTGTCACCAGCTCATATCCGGGATTATTGCGCTGCCTCTTCACATACAGCGCCTGCTGGCCCAGCAGCTCGGCAATACCTATCTTGCTCACTTCCTCTGATCAACTACCGATGCGCGAAGGAACCCGTGTGATTGAGAAGTTGAAACAAGGCGCAGTGGGCATATGTACTCTCCGAGCGCGGTAAGAACCCTTGGTTGTTCGTTCATGGCTTGGCAGTGGTCGTGCCCTTGTTCAATCCGTACCGCCCTTGTTTCCAAGGATAAATGAATCTAGTCGGCCTGTTATCGAGTCACATTTGCTGTGATTGCATTCAAACTCGAAGACATTGTTGAGACACGCCCCTCCAGCTAGCACTCTTCACACCTGCACCCATCTGAGAAAACGATCTGACCCCGGCTATATATCCAATTTAACCCCGAAACTCAGTCAGGTTTCAAATTCGCTCTTGCCTCAATCTCTCTCTTACCCTCCCTTTCGGCCTCTCTTAACCGCACAGTCCGCCGTGAATCAGAAGAAATACCCACCTAAAACGGCAAGTTGAAACTGATCGATTGAAAAATTTGAACCAAGCCCCTATCCCACGCCCGAAGCATTCCTCCCAGTGGTTCGAAAGGCCAATCAAGTCGTACATATGTGGAGTTGTCAAGCACAGTTCGTTTAAACATTAGGAACAGAATAGCCATATATCGGCATACATAAACTGCATCGATGACTCGGTAGTGGTATGCTTTGTCGTTCTGTGAAAGTGCGAAATGGAAAAAAAAAAAAAAAGCCTTTCGGCATTTTTCCGATTGTTCTAGTCTTCATTTACTTATTCCAGTTCTTGAGCCCATGTACTACATTCTCGTCCTCCACGCTCCCAGTGGCATCACTTTATTTCAAGTCCCTCTATTCTCTTTCCTTTTTACCAACGCTCTTCATTTTCACCAATCCTCCATTTTTCCGCATTTTTCGGACTCAGTGCATATTCATCAGACATTGCCTTGCACAGCTTTGGTGGGGTAGTGGTAACCTGGGTCGTTGCCGGAAAAAAAAAAAAAAAAATCCGGGGTGCGCCCCGAGCATAAGCGAGGGCCTGGAACAGCCCACGAAGTGGGCGAGCGATGTTAGTGAGATGAAGCGACGCCCCGGATCACTGCCCGATCGCATCCACTCATGACCGATTGCACCCCGCGCCCTTTCTCGACGTCACCCGCTCAACGTCTCCCGCCCTTCCGCCCGCCGTCGCGATTTCTCATGATTCCTCGGCATCTCGGCGCGATGCGTCATCAACCTACTTCGATCGCTACCGCCGTCTACTTGCCACCATCGCCACCTGCCCATTGCCTCGCCCGGCGTGGGACGTGTCCGCCGCAACTCGTCATTCAATGGCCCATTCTCATGCAACTGCGCCGACACCATTGTGCTCGTCCCGTCGGCCACCTTCGTTCCAAATCTTGGGACAGCCCAATAGAAATTCCGTTCATCTCTTTGCGCCCACTCGAGCTTCGTTGGCTTTTCTTTTCAAACGTGACTGCGCGCGAGTAACGACTATCCTACGACATGATCTCCACGCAGTCCCGTGGCGCCGATGGGGTAGCGGTAACCTGGGTCGTTGCCAAGAGTCTATTGACTCGACCCGCCGGGGGTTCGACTCCCCCTCGGCGCAGTGTTATCTTTTGGTTGCCTTTTCTTGTAGTCCGCATCTTTTCCTTCCGCCCGCAATCCACTCATTTCGGTGGCGATTACGTCAGCCTTGTGATTCGACCCGCCGGGGGTTCGATTCCCTCCCAAAGCATGCTGAATTTCAAGACGACTTTTTTTTTTCTTTCACACTCTACTCTGATGAAGTAATCACAGGAACTGAGCGGAAATTTATTTCTTTTGTTCATGTTTTGGCGCTCATTTTATCCTCTACTGACTGTGATTGGAATGGAGACCGTGATTCTCATCAGCGAACGTTCGTCTTCCTCATACATTTCCCGATACCGTAAGAATCGGAGTCACCAGCTGGATCCTGATTTAAACTAGATTCCAATCACGCCTTTGAACAAAAGATTATAATGATGACACAGTGGTTCCCAAGAAATCGGGATGTTAATCACATTGACATATGAATAGCGACATATTCAATCGATGTGCTAGTGTGGCCATTCTCCATGCCGGTCCGAACCAATTTTCCCGTGGGGTTGCGGGTGCGGGTTAAATTCATTCGCATCTTCGGTAACAAAACTGGCTGTAAAATATAGCCGCATCGGCTTGGTCAATTTTGCTATGGGAAGCTGATACCACCTTGAACTCGAACTTGACATCGTTCGAGACTCGGGCAAGAACGGCCTTGTTATCGCATACGACAAGACCTCTGCGGTCCGGCCGCCGCGGATTGTTAACTTCACAGTGTATATTTGCATCCGTTCTAGCGATTTGTGTCAACCCGTCGATCTTGATCGAGGGTCGATCAAGATCGGCCGCTTCTCTTTCTTCTCACACCTTCACATTCGCACGCTCAGAAATGACTCGAGAGGGTGTGAGACGACTCCAGAGCGTCAAGTAACTCGGGCGAATAATGGGAGCCGCTGTTCTTATTCGATTGATCATAAGGCAGGTTAAAGAACAAGTACAGCACGCTGAATTTCCGCGATCGTCTCTTGTACCCCTGGATCCATATGAAGGCACACCTTGTAGGATAAATATTAATATCCATGTTCGCGTGGGCCTTCAACAGCACTCGATCATGATCGACCGCTTGCATTCACATTCCCAAGAACAATACATTCCCGCATCAGCCGCTCGCCAAGGTAATCAAGCATACACGTATGCAGCCACGATATGCGGCTGCCGAGAGGACCGAAATCAAATTATCCGACGAATAGAGGGGGATTATAATCTATTAGTATTGATATTCTTCAAGGTCAACCCAGAGTTCAATCTTGCTCTAGGCGGAGTCACCCGTCGCTCGATGCAACATCGCAGGCCCATATAAAAGAACGAGCCTGCGGAGTTAGTGTAGCATTCGGAAGCCGAAGAACTCAGCGACTGAACATCAAGTCGGAGTCATACACACCATCGCACACACTTGAACATAATCATTGGAACTGGAACCGCGCCGATGCCGATTCGCGATGTCGGAATCAGGTTTCAGGGTTGTGGCCACAATGATAGTTGGGTGGTGTGGGTCGTCTGTGGATCCCGCGGCCAAGCTGAGATCATTTTGAACAGGAGATTGCGCGGTACGATTTTCCGCATTATGACCTACTATAGCGAAAGATGGGCGATTAACATTGGGGGAGGGCCTGTGCGCCTGGTCGTGGAATATCTCGACAAGGGACGAGCACTAGCAGCTAAACAAAATTCATGATGCAGAATAATGGCAGAGGGGGATGATGTGGGTCCAACATCCAGGTCTACATATGTACCACACTCCTCTTGACCTTGCCCCCGAGGCGAGGGGTAATTCTATATCCCGCGGACAATTAGGGAGAGGTCGGCGGTCGGCGGTGGACGGATTTTACTGGATTGAGATTCAGGGCTGCTGCAGATATGGGGTCCGCGGAGAGGAAATTGGAATCGAGGGGAGAGTCACGCATTCGGAACCCGCAGCGCTATGTGCGGAATTGCCCTCGGTGCTGTATTCCATGTATCAGATAAGCTAGCGTTTCGTGAATTCGTTCACTCAGACTTTAGGCGCCGAGGGTGTGAATGTCCAAGTATGTAGGATGTATATTTTGCTTTTGCAGCCGCGTACATGTACATGTGGATGTGGAGAAGACGGAGGGGACAGTCGCAACGCGCGGAATTGTGTTTATACTTCGGGCGCCGAGGGCGTTCGAGCTGAATATATCGTTTGCACCCGTCTATCCATGCGCGGAAATGAACTGCTCGGAGAAGCCTTTGCATGCATTTTATACTCTGATCTAATTCAGAGTGCACCCGGCGCAACATGTGTAGATACCCAGGATCATCGCAGCGTTTCTCACAACATGAGGATGCGAATGCACCCGAGAGCGCGCGCCGTGCGGGCAGAGTAGATGTAGACGCGCGGTCCCGTCCGTTAGCCTTCCCGCGTTTGTATTTTCGAACCCTGGAACTGGGCGCCGTGGGCCGAAATTGGTTGGTTTTGGTGAAAGTGCAAGAGATGAGGCGTTAGTTGAATAGCGTAGGCACGGGTGGATACTAAGGTGGGGGATCCAAATCCAAACCCGCTGGGTTGGACTTGGTGAGTCGAATTCAAGCAAAGCAATAAAGTACACTCGCGCTTTGTTCAAAATGCAGGATGCTGCCTTGTGGCCATTCATTCGGGACGTCGGTGGGTATGCAGTGGTGGACGTGGAATGGAATGAATTTGTGGAACGAAAGCAAGCCACGCGCGTTTCGTTGCGTATCCGTTTCGGGATATAGTGTGATACATAAATATATAGACCACGGTGTATTGGCGTGCGATTGAGGGCGAATGGGTGAGTAGAATAGCGCGTCGGAAGGGAATGCGGCGCTCCGCAGCGCGAAGCGAAACGTCGATGTAATCAAACGCGCCGATGTAGGGCAGGGTGCGGGATTTGCGTCTCGAACGCCCAATGCAGCCGCGCTTCCGATTCTGATTGTGCATGGGATGACGTGCTGAAATTCCAACACTGGCAGGCGAGTCTAGTCTCTTCGTTTCGCCAGTTTTGCGTCCCTACCGCCCGCGTCCTTTTCCGTCAACTTTTCTTCGTTTGTCGTTTCCCCTTTTTCCCTTTTTGTTTCCTTGGATGTGAAGAAGGAGGAGGAGGACAGCAGCCGAGGTTGATTCCAAGGGTTGAATTCGACACAACCGAGTTCGATTCGTGCTACTACCTCGCGTCGCACGAGCGCACGGCTGATATGGGTATGTAATGCGGGACAGCGTCTAGGGTGTCTGATGAACGACGCACCCAACCCTCCCGAGTCTTTGGATTTACTTCGCAGGCCCTCTGCACACGTAAGTACACCCCGCGCGACAGACACCTCCTTTTTTTGGAGGATAAAGTGAAATTGGAATTGGAATTGGAGCCGTGTTCTGCATTGCGATACATGCGACATACATAGCGTCGTCGCCAGGGCGGAAAGTTTCGTGTTTCGAATTCGCTCCGCGCCAATCCCCGAATCTAATCCTCTTCTGGCGATGGCGTCGGGTGTCGACTTGAACGCGTCTCAGCCTCAGCCTCAGCCTCAGTCTTTTGTCTTTTTTGTTTTTATTTTCGAATCCCGAGAACTTGTTGTGGAAGAAGAGTGCACGCGAGATTACATGTATATGGATGGTGGATGTATAGGAACGCAACAGAAACAGAAACAGAAACAGAAACGGAAACAGAAACCCGCCGCTCCTTGTGCAAAGTTTGTGTTCCCACCGCACCCGAGAACAGAACCTCGTTTGTTTTGGAGGAAGATTGACAATTGTTCCGCATTTCGGAATGTGATAGATATATTATATTATATGTGCTTGTACCCGACTGAAGGTAGGAGCCGAACCCCAAGACAAAGACAAAGTTTGTTTTTCCCAGCGCGGCCGACTCCGAGAACTTGTTTTGGAAGAAGATTGGAGCCGAGATTAATATATTAATATATCGATAGCCTAACATCCCGGCGTTGCGTGTTGCCGCCACACGGGAGTGGATATGCGGGGGCATGGGCATAGAAACAACCGCCGACAGAGGGACTGCAACCTCAGGGCGGCCGACTCCGAGAACAGAACGAACTAGCTTTTGTCGGAAGGAGGACTGTAAGCGGGATTAAATCCCCATTTCGGAATATATTTGATATATTCCACAGGAGAGACGGGCGGACGAGAGCGAGGAAAGAGTGTATGCGTCAGGGTAGAGTGCATGCGCCAGGGTAGACAGCGGGCAGAAACCAGAAACTGGCAGGACCGCTCCGAGGGCGATAGATAGTCAACCCAAAAAAAAAAAAAAAAAAGGCTAGGAACGAGATGTTCTCAGGAACCGCACCGTGACACAGCGCAGCCGAAATGAATTCCCCGTCCAACGTCCCGGAAATTTTAGACCAGGATATGTCTGGGTTGACGTGGCAGCGACAGGATTGCTCGCATGGCGGCGGAGGTGCGGAAATGTGGGGGCCTTTGGGTGAGAGGAGGGTGGGAAGTTGGGGGGTGGGTTAGGCGAGCCAAGATGCAGTGGGAGGATTCGCAAGCGAGCGACGTGAACACGAATTCCGCCGACGTCGAGCGCGAGGGGGCACGCGGGCGAGAACGCAGAGGATATTGGACATGGGTAATTGGCGACAGGCGTGGGGCCTCTTGTCTTCGATGTCATGACCGATATTCGTCCAGAATGAAGGGTGTTTCCGCGCCGCTGCATATGCCTCCGCCCGTCCCTGCCTCCGCGGGACCAACCCCTCCGCGCACCATGCGTCCTTAATCCTGGAAGCGGGAAAAGTCGGAGTCGCCGCGGCGTCACAGGCCCCACCCATGGCCCAATCGTCGAAAATTCCAGCCAGAATCGGCACAAGGTGTGCAGATCTCTAGATCTGCACACGCAACGTAAGACCCATATCGGGAAATGACTGCGCCAGATCGCTGGGTCGCACGCACTCTAAGAGATTATAAAGATGACGGACTTTTCGCTCTGCGAACTGCGATATCCTCCCCACCTGCCGAAACACCCCGCGGCGCCCCGAGACGACCCGATACACCTCCTG